GGGGGGGGGCTCCCCCCCCCCCCCCCCCCCCCCCCCCATACACACACTTCAGGGTAAAGTGCTCATTTCTCTCTAAGTGCTACAAAAAAAGTTATACCCACCAAAACTGCCAAGTGGGCTGCCTGCTTCTCTGGTCACTGGCACCTGTCTCCTCCTGACGTCCTCTGTGTCCTCACGTCTATACACAGTGTATAGCACGTGATAATTTATGGGACCTTAGACCGCTGCAGTGGTCTGGGGACCATTCTAAGAGAAAGCTGGCTCCAAAGATCAGGCACATATACCTTTTTTAGCACCTAACAAGCACTTAACCTTTGCAGTGCAGGGGTAGACCTGCTGCAAGGGTGAAAACAAATTCTGCCTGGAGTTCTGCTTTAAGCTAAGCCTTTGTATTGCAGAGTCGTTGGTAAATCTAATGAAGGTTGAAGTCGGATTGTGACAGCTCAGGTCTGTGCAATCAGATTGTGTGTGGCTGGTTTAAAGCTGAACTCCAGCTATAGAAATGTAAAAATACTTACTTTGGTCCAGCTTGGCACAATGTAAGTATAAATAAACGATCCCCAACAGGGCCAATGGGATCCTGTATAACACTGTAGTAGCCAAAGCTACTACAGTGTCTTACAGCGGACCTCTGGGTCCAGGAACAGTTTCTGTGGTGAGCAACTTCTCCCCTGCTGTAAAAACACAGCGGCCATTGGCTCAGCACAGCGGCCATTCAGCATTCGCCTAGTATTTTTATCAGTGAAAAGTAGGTATTCTCTGATTAGATGAGGTGCAGTGATGTCATGGCACCACACCTTGTCTAATAAGAAAACACCTAGTAACATACATTCGGGACATGGAAGATCACACTGTAGTATCTGGAGCTACTACAGTGTTTTACAGGACTCCTGTGGCTCTGCCTAGAATCATTTATATATACCTACATTGTGCCACTTAGATCAATGTAAGTATATTTATATATACATTTATAGAGCTGGAGTTCATCTTTAAGATTACAACTATGCTCCCTCTATACCCGAACTTAAACAAAATCTAAGACTATTGAGAGCTGGATTAATGGTGGATTGCTGCTTCTGGGTCTAAACTGTGACTAGGGCCTATGTGTGAGGCCAATCAGAGCCTATGCCAATACATCACACCCCATGGTTAAGATTCGGATTGTGACATCTCTGCCCCTCGTCCACTTAGAGATCACCTTATATTCATTGATAAAAACATTAGGCATGCTCTGAATGGCCACTGTGCCAAGCGAACAACCCCCAGAGCAGAGGGTAAGCTGCTCAGTACAGCACAGGACTGTATTAGCTCTGGGCACATACATCTTTATCTGATGTAGAGCTAAGGGGACAGCATAGAAATAGCCAACGTGTTTCATGGGCTTATATGTGTACCCCCTTCATCAAGGCTTACTAAAGGAGAATATGTATGAGGACTGTGATGGGTTTTACATTGGATACAGTTTTGTCCACTATGTGAGAATGCAAAGAGCTCGTGAGCAGCTGTCAAATCAGCGTCATCTGATTCTATACTGTCCCCTCAACCCCACATTGAATAAAGATCTGGACTATTAAACAGAGTGTGGCACTTCGCTTGACAATCCTGCAACCTACAGGTTAGCTGTATATCACCATTATTCAGGGCTGTAGCTACCATGGGGCGAGTGAGGCACTCGCCTCAGGCGCAGCTGAGAGGGGGCGCAGGCAGGGCCGGCCTGGCTGCGCCCCTCCCCCCTGCTGCCATGGTGAGCGCAGGGCACCATTGGCAACAGGGGTGCCAGGCGGCCAACACAGCCGCGGCTCGGGAGGGAGAAGAGGAGCGGCACAGGCTCCAGCTTCTCCTCGAATCCCTGCTGCTCTCCCCCACCTGTATCTTTATCTATTTCTAAAGGGAAATGTCAGCGGTCTGTTTAGACCCCTGATATTTCCCCGAAGTAAAAAAATAATAATAATAAAAAATGAATTTAAAAAAAAAAAAACACCCCCCCCCCCTCCCACACACACACATTACTAGACATGTGCACAGACTAAAAATTTGTTTCGGACGAAATGAACAGAAACTAAACATGTTTTCATTCGTTTCGTCAAACAAAACACATTTTTATGCTATTTTGGATTCGGCCACCAATCCATTCTGTGCATCCTGGAGGCGGGGCGCATGACACCACATACCGCACACGTCACAATTTTCTGTACTTGCCTCGGGCTGCCAAAGGAGCTAGCTAAGGCTCTGCCATTATTAAATGAGTTTCTCCATTCGATGGGTAACTGACTCCATTGGATGAGAAAGCGTCAATGTCGCAGGTAGTTTGGCCAGTTGGCTCTCAAAGTCTCTAAAAACAGACCGGAGGATGGTTGAACATATGAGAGTATCTCTGGCTTTTGGTACTATAGAGCTGTACCCTTGGAAATCCATTGCTTTCTGTGAGTTTTCAAGGTGGTATTGCTTCACCTCAAAGACAGAGCAGCTCTGAGTGCTCAATGTGCTGCAGAGCTGCTTTCACAGAGACGGGGGAAAACCAAAACCTTGCCATAACCCCCAACACTCATTATCATAGAGATGGAATGGGTTTTTCTCAGTCTGGGAAAGCGGGAAAACCCCTTTAAATAAGGTCTTCTATTTTTACTTCACTGACATAAGATTTCTGGGTGTGCACATCATTTCAGATTTCAATAAAACGATGCCAATCTCATTACAGGTAGAAGCAAGAAGCGGGACAGATGTCAGAACAGCGAGCTTTATCCGTTAGCGGAGACCGAGGCGTGCGCCTGTGAAGTATATAAATCTCAGCCGTATGGAAATTGGTCGGACTGCATAATTCGAGATGGAAGAAATGAAATGCAGCTGGGAGTGAGAGCTCGCAGGGACATGAAAGGCTGCGGTGAAGGCATTCGACTGCGCGCAATCGCCTGTTATGACTTAACTGGCAGGATTGTAGAGCCCAGTCTCTGCAGTCGTTCCGGTAAGGGAGAGCTTCAATTATTTATGGAACAGACTCTTAGTACCGAGTGAATTTAATTGTTAAGGATGGGGAATGGTTTTGTGAAGTTCTAATATTTTTTTGAAGACAAGTGTAGAAATTAAGAGTCGCTCTGGATGAGTCCTGCATTGTAAAACCAAGAACAGAATGTGTTCAGACTGTTGTAATACTATTACCTACACTGTAACACATTTTTTAAAGAGACCCAGTCACTAAACCAATAATTTCAACAAAATCCTTCCATGAGATTATATGTCCATATTATTTACCTGTAAAGGCTCCCTTGGTTAGACATTTGAAAGTCCTGAGACTGCTGCTACCATCTTGGATGTGATGTCAGCAGCCCCAGCAGCAGGACCATCCCTCCAGCGGCATCTCATTGGATCAAGTGGGGGGGCGGTAGGCTCTGGCCGGCATCCCGACCAGCTCACTGACGTCATTGGGTGCCATAAGCTAAGCGGGATGCTCTGGCCACCATGTATTATAGGCAGCATCCCTCCCCCTCCCCGAATGTCCACCTCCCCCCAACCCCCCGAAAAAAAGATAGATAGAGCAACTAAT